AGTTGGCCACCTACATTCCAAATTAATCAACTCTCAAATAATTTTCAATTTTCTTTTCTCTCTCTCTCTCTCTCTCTCTCTCTCTCTCTCTCTCTCTCTCTCTCTCTCTGTTTTTTACTGACCTATCATTGTATTTGATTTTCCTTAGTTTTGAGTAAAGAATCTTAGCAGACATGCTCCCCAGTTTGAGTCCAGACCTGAGAGGTCTATCATCTTAATTAGATTTATTTTAGCTTTCTTAGAGGTTCTGCGCTAAATGAGTTTTTAGCTCAACATACTTAGCCACAGTCTCTTCCAGCTCCATAAGCACAGGTAGCAGCCAGTATCTGAAGTATGGGCAGCTTGGAATAGCACGAAATGTCTGCAGAGTTATAGGCCATGCCACAAATAGTGCAGCATCTGGTACCTGGGCCCACAGTTTTATTGACATTCTTCCAAAAAGTTGTATGTTGAGTGGAAAAAATGCAGACACTTTCACTGAGACAGATGGGATTTTGGATGCTAGCTAACCCATATTCCAGATGTGTGACCTTCAGAAAATTACCTGACCTTTCATTGTTTCAGTTTCTCATCTGCAAAATGAGGACAGTGACTCCTTTCTCTTAGGGATATGTTGAGGATGAGTAAGGATGTGTGTAAACCATATAGCGCATGCCTGTTACATCAGGAGATCTCACCCAATCCTCATCATTGTTGTTATTCTAAAGCCCATTGTCTGCAAGCTACCAGTGTGCTCTGTGGATTCTCTGCTTTTGCATGTCATTAGCAAGCACACTGAAAAATATGCCTTCAAGTAATCTACTTCTCTGTGTACATATAAATGTATTTCCCCAGTTTGAGTACAGATGCATATATTAAAGGGTAAAGTGCATCTACTCTGTTGTGTTGACATAGGAATCAACCTCAGTTTATATCCCTAAGGCACTTGCTGTGTAAATAGATTTTGGATTCTAAATACTGACTAAAATACTGGGATTTGTGTCTAACCATAGAAGGAAAATACAGGAGAAGAATTTGATCTAAGTTGTATTCTTTTGAAGTCAAGAAGAAGCTGTTATACTTCTTTAGTGTGAATGGCAGATTCTACCCCACCCCAAGGAAAAGTTTATAGATCAGCTGGTCAGAAGGGGAAGGACTGAAATTATATCTGAACCTCAAAAATTTTGTAAAAGACCCATTTGTCTTTGAAGTTGATGCACTACAATAACCCAGTGGGGTGGGAAGTTTCCAGGTAAACCAATTTTCACTGACCTTGTTGGCATATGTATACATATTCTGTGATGTGCTGTCAAGTGAGCTCTTTATAAATGTTAGAAATATCACATGTGGCCCAGACTGAATGAAACTGAAGAGTATCAGTGGAGCTGGGGAACTTTTTCCTATTAATTGAAATATACCTGGTTTCTTCACCAGAGTTAAAATAAATTGCTGGTTGTTCTGTTTTGTTTGGTAATAGATGAAATAAGAAAATGCTCAGTACTTAACAAAGTATCTCACCTCCTAGGGGGCCTTTGCAGAGCTGAGACCTGCTAAAGGAACATTAAATTCATGCCATTTCCTTTAGTCCTGTTCTCCTGGACAGGGTGGAAGATAGACAGGCCAGGAGGCTCTTATTTATGTTTAAATATTTTATTTGTTTGAACATATATAACTGGATCTGCTGCATCTGTATGTATAGGCTAGTTAAATTGTAATAACATTTGTATTTCCTGTTTATTTTCTATTTAACAATTATGTTTTACAAAGCTCTAAACCTTTTGTATATTTAAAGTATAAGTAACTACTACGAAGACACCAATATGCAATGTGTTAATTATTGTAACTATCCTACTAACCTGTTTTGAAACTGTCTCATTGCTATTTGTTTCTCAATAAAATTAATAAAAATAAGTAAACATTTAAAAAATAGAGTGGTTCATAGAACGTAATCTGTATGAACCTGGCATAGAGTGAGCAATGTGTACATAATGGAGAAAGGACAAGGTGTCATGGTGACAAGCTAGTGTTCTGAAGGGAGCCCCTCCTGGATGTTGATGCTGCCCATGGTAATGGCAGGAAGTGAGGTGAGGGAATGACAGGAATAGCTGCTAATTTTTGAGCCATAGTTCTTGCCAGGGTGACACTGCCCACAGGGAGCATTTGGACCTACCTACCTTCCTACCTTCCTTCTTTCTTTTTCTTCTTTTTCCCTCCCTCCCTTCCTCTCTTGCTCCCTCCCTCCCTCTCTCCCTCCCTCCCTTCTTCCCTTCCTCGCTCCCTCTCAAATCCAAGTGGCTCAGGGCCCTGGAGTAGTGTACACTTGACATTTCTGTGGAACAAGGACCTGACCTGCTTCAGTATGACTTCTAATTGTTGGACTACTTGAGGAACTGAAAAGCTAATATCACACGGATGAGATTTCAAATGAGAGAGCTTCCTGTAACACCAAAGCACTGTCCCATATCATGGGTGTTATTTTTACACTCTCTTTTCATTGTAATCATTAATATATTAATTGCACAGATTTCCATATATGCATATATTGTACATTGATCATATCCATCTTCCCTGTTCTCTCCTCCCTTCCCTGGCTTCCTTCACAATTTCCTCTGGTTCCTCTTCTACTTTCAGGTAATCTCTGCTTTCACATATCAGATAAATCATACAATTCATTCTGTATCTGGCTTATTTTGCTCAATGTGATGTCTTCTAGTCCCATCCATTGTCTTGCGAATGATAAAATTTCCTTCTTATTTGTGGTTGAATATTTCTTCATTGTATATGTAACCCACATTTATTTTCTTTATGCATTTATCTGATGGACACCGAGGCTAACTCTGTGTCTTCACTGTTGTGAATAGTGTTACAGTAAACATGGCGTGCAGGCTTCTCTATTATATGCTGGCTTTTCATTTCCTTTGGATACACACCCAGTAGTGGGATAGCTAGATCACAGGATAGTTCTATTTTTCATGTTTCGAGGAACCTCCATACTGATTTCTATGACAACCGTAGTAATTTACATTGTTTGTAACCCACAGTTTACAGTAGTCTTAAATATTAAGCCCAGACATTTGTACTACTGCATACACCTTGATAATTTTGCTCTGTCATCCTTATTTCAATTAAGGTTGCTTCTTCCCTGTCATATTCACGTAGATCTTGTGTGTAGTCTCCATCCAGATGCTAGTCCAAATTCTTTATTTACCTGTACTTCTCTTCTTTCATTTCCCCATACTTTCTTGTACAGAATAGCTTCTGATCTTTTAAATCTACACTTCTTTATTTATTATTATAACATCTGCCTTTATCACATTTTTTACTCCAATGATGCCATACATTTACATGTTGAAATGTAGATTGTTTCAGTCTAAATTATGTTCCATCTTTCACATACTATTGTTAGGGAAGTATGTTAATTTGAAGAGGGCAACAGTATACATGAGTTTTATTCACTGTCAATTCCACTTCAGGACAAAAATGAGATATTATGGAATATGTATTGTAAAGAGAGTTGAGAGCAGCTATCTTGGAAAATGAGAAAGTTGCTGGAGAATTGGTATCGGACAGAAGTGTGGGGAAAGTAGATGGTGGTAGTGAATGAACACGGGGAAGAAGTGTTTTTATGCAGAGGTGGGAAGCCTAGACGTGGCAGTAAAGAGAAAACCATGATCTCAAATGCCTGCCTCTTCATCCTCGTTCAGGAGCTCCTCTCCACCCAGAATGCTTGCTGTATTCTTCACCCACCTGTATCGTGTCTGGCATTAAACCTTATTCTTTTTAAAGATTGCTCTGACCCTTTTTGGCTGAAAGAAGAGATGGTGGGTGAGGGAATGGTCTGTCCAGCCTGGGCCCTGTGCCAGGCTTGATGCCTGTGCTCTCAGCCCTTCCCCCGAGAGAGAGCACTGCCACTCTTAGAGTGAGGAAGGCATCAGATCAGGCTCTGGACTTCACCTTGTCCAGTGTCCATGGAAGCGTGGCTCAGCACAGCTGGCCCTGTAGCCTGTATTTTGTCCATTGTACCACACAGTCCTTAAATTGACCCTAATGGCCGAATTGAGAGACACTTTGTGGTGGAAAAAGAATGATGGCTATTTGAGACTTGAGCCCATCTAACTTTTGATTTTCAGCCTTGTATTCGAACCATTCTTTGTCCTTTTGGCCCCAGTATCTTAATCAGCTAGTTATTTTCTTTGAAAACATTTAATTTATCATCTTTTATTACCATAACATTTACCATATGCCTTATTCATTATGGGTGTTCAGTACTTAGTGATGGATTTAAATGTGTAAGGTCTGTGCATATTTTCAAATGCTTAAGGAGCACCTGAAAATGTAGTGCAGTAATACAGTGTGGAAAATACAGTGTAGAAAATATAATGTAGTAATACAGTGTGGAAGGCCTCAACAGAGGGAAATGTGGTTTTGCAAATGTAAAATGCATAACTTGAATTTGCATCCAAAATAGTGAAGGTCAAAGACTTTCTTTCATTAAAATGTAGAACTTTAAAATTCAAATTCTCACTCTCTTGACTGTGTAATTCTTTTTTGGGGGATACCCATAATTTTTAGATTCATGTGCATTAATACTTATTAATTTATTCAGATATGATTATGTTTCACTTAAAGCATTTCAAACATTTTTGAGGGATTTAAATGTTAAAAGTAAAAAAAAAAAAAAAAAAGCAACTAAAAAAACCAGGCATCGTGGCACATGCCTGTAATCCCAGCACTCGAGAGTCTGAGGCTGTAGAATTGCCATGAGTTCAAGGTCAGCCTGAGCTACATAGTGAGTTCAAAGCCAGCCTAAACTACACAGCTAGACCCTGTCTCAAAAAACAAAGCAACTAAAGAAATTCTACCTGCTGTTGTTTATCTACAACTTAAGTCCATATCACCTCTTTACTTGGAGGGTAAGACTGGATACCTGTGCTCAGTCTGTCTTAGACATTCATGTCAGTTGCAGCAATGTTTAGATGATCTTTTGTTTAGTATTGAATTTCTGCTCTTCTGTTTTCCAGGTCCTGTTGGAGTAGGACTGAACGAGCTGAAGCGGAAGCTGCTGATCAGCGATACACAGCACTATGGTGTGACAGTGCCCCGTGAGTTGGGAATTATTCAGTACTGCTTGGATCCCAGCAGCAGCAGTCACTCAGTACTTACTGAGCACACACAGTGCCTGTGGTCCAACCACACACCTTCCAAGTCCCTTCAGTGACACTGTTCACATTTTACAGAGGAGCAAACTGAGGCACCAGAGCATCAGAGAATTGCCCTTAATTGCACAGATCTTTGGCAGGGTCTTTGTTAACGGCAGCTTCCCTACTTTTAGGTTTTTTATGATGGATTTTTATACAGGATGACATCAACTTACTATTTACAAATTTCTTCAGAAGTAAAAGTCTCACTGTGCTATTTTGTAAAATAAGTGCTAATGTTTTCCAGTTTTTCATCAGTTTTACAAGTAGAAGAACCAAACCACAGAGAGCTGAAGAAGGTTGGCATAACACAAACCTTTCTCAATTACCTTTTACATGTAGTAATTGGCAGGTTGTGTTAAATGGCTTTTCATGGCCATATAGCCCAAACATGGTAGGCTTCTTTTCAGTTCACAGAATTAGATCTATTTTTATATAAGTGGTTTTCATAGGCCTTCTTACAAATGAAATATGATGCTTGAAACATTTTGAATCTCCAGAATAAATGCCATTTGACTATTTAATATGTTGATGTTAGAAAGCTGTCTAAAAGGCTAAATTGAAATGTTGGCATTTTCAAGTGGTTTTAGTATTGCTTTTTCAAAAAATCATTTGTATATTGCCTTTAGCAATGTTCTTTAGTTTTGGAAGAGATCAACTTCATTTTAAAATTATAGTTCTCTGTTACCTCACATTACTTCTTGTTACTACATTTTGCCAAATTATTTTATTTATTTATTTATTTATTTATTTATTTATTTATTTGCAGAACCAGGGATTGAACTCAGGCCCATGCACTTGCCAGAGAAGCACTTATTCTACTGAGCCATCTTCCCGGCCCCTTGCCAAATTATTTTTTATAATCATTTTTCAACCATAAGTTACAGAACTGCTGGTTTCCACAAGCAGAGATGAATATAAAGGAAAATGTGGAATTACAGATCTTTTTTTAATTCAGTTTTTTAAAAAAAGAAATTAAGTTGCTATATACAGGTAATCAGTACAAATTAAATCAAATTAAATTTACACCTACAGGTGAGCAGTTACCTAGAAATTTAGACATTTCTGCAAAGGCAGATTACAAAAATATAAACTTGTTAATTTCTATACATTCATCTCCTTGTTCATCTTAATCTTTGCATCACTGTCAACAGCAGTTTAAGACAGGTAACCTGTCTCCATTTTGTGGAGAAGGAAACAGGTGGAAAGGGTAGTCTGCCAACACAGGACCTATAGGTAATAGTTACACTTGGATTTGAAATCAAGTTTTATGTTACCACTTCTCAGGCTCTTTCTTTTTTGTGGCACTAGGAATCCTTTCAATTCCAGACTATTTATTGAATCCAGTGAGCAGTTAAAACTAACTTCTTTTGAAGATGATAAATATTAGTAAGGCTGCCTATCAGATATAACCTTCTAGGGTGGTTTTGGTATTAGTGAAGGTCCTAGAACAAGGTGCTTTGGTCTCAATTACTCAACTAATAAGGTAGTATTTGTCTCTGAAGTTATTGGAAAAGTCAACAATATCCAGAAAGGTTAGAACTTTGTAAATAAATCCTGAAGTAGTTATTTATACTCTGAATAGTTATTTATATACTTTGAAACAGGTGTTAATGTCAATCAGATATGATACAGTAGCGTTTGCTAGGCTTGCCTGATAAGAATTCCCTTAGGTTTTTTAGGAAAGATACCCAAGGTGCTGTATTTATAGCAAGTGTCTGAGGTAATTCACAGTATTAGACATATTTAGAAAACAGCTATAATATCCACTCAGGATAATTTAATTCAAGAAGAATGTATCTTTAAGAGGAATTCTAGAATTTCCTTTTTTTTTTTTTGTAAAATACCTTGGACAGGGGCTGCGGAGATGGCTCAGTGGAATAAGTGCTTCCCTGGCAAGCACAAGGGCCTGAGTTCAATTCCTGGTTCTGCAAAAAACCAAAAAAAAAAATGAAAAACAAAACAAAACAAAAAAAACAAAACAAAACAAAAACAAAAAACTTGGACAGATTGTGGAATATTGGATAAGAATTACTGCTTTGAATATTCTACTATTCTGCTTGATATTTCATTCTATAATTCTCTCTTCTAAAACATAAAATACTCACCATAGTAGGTAGAATGAAAGAGATGTGGGCCAGTGAAACTCTTGTATATTACTGATGGGAATGTAAATTAACATTTTGGGAAACTAAGTAGTCACATCCACTAAAGTTGTGTAAATATACACCAAGTGACTGAGCAATCCATCTCTGGTTGTAAAGCCAACACAAATGTGAGTGTACATTCACTAAAAAGCTATGTACTTGGGTATCCTTAAAAGTGTTATGTGCAGCTGGGGAGATAACTCAGTGACATAAGCACCTGCCTGGAAAGCACAAGATCCTGAGTTTGATCCCCAGTCAAGAAAAAAAAAAAGAAAGTATTACACACAGAGCTCAAAATTAAGACTACTTCTTCCAAATTTTCTGATCAAGAACATTATGGGGCCAAAGAGGAAAGTGATCGATGACATAGAGTGAGCCTAAGGAGAGTCACATGGGGAGAAGATACTCTCTCAGGCTTTCACAGAGAGCACATTGGCCAAGCATTGGCCGTGACTCATTCACATGGCTGCACTGATAAGGGTTCTACAATCTGAGGTACAGGATCTCAGGACAAATCCTGAGGGCATTTCACTGACCTTCTCAGACCAAAAAGCTACAACTCTTGTTGCATAGGTCCTGCTTTACCTTGGTCTTAACCATCCAGCAGAAAAGTATGAAGACGAAATTATAAGAAATAAAGCCATGCTGTTAAGTTGAGCTGTGGGGGACTCAGGTTAATAATTTCTGACATTGCCAGTTAAACAGAAGACCCAATGCTATTATGGGCTACTGGACTCTTTTAGAATATTTTGCTGAGTTTACACACCTATAATATTCAATAACGGAACTTAGGAAAAATGGGGTATACCGATGAATGTCCATTTTGTATCTGTGTATTCAAAGTGGTTGGGATAGATATATAGTTACATTCTGTTAATGAATAGAATGATTTGTTCTAATGGTGTTTGTAAATAGGATCACAAGTCCGCATCTTGTACAGCAATTAACCACTAAGAAGAATATATGCAGTGTATTATTTGTTGAAAAATAAAAAAAAGAAAAAAAGAGAAAAAAAAATTAAGACTACTTCAATGCCCATCAGCAGTAGAATGCATGAGCAAATTATGATATATTATGATATAGTCACACAGTTGAGTACTAGAAATGTGTATTATGAGTATTTTTACAATTTCAGAAAATCAACACTTAGTATGTACTATGAGAAATTTGGAGGAGGTGGTCTGGGAAGGAAACCCAAGCCAGGATTCATGAGTGCTAGTTGGTTTTGTGCTGCTTCATAGAGTTCTGGTTTCCTGGGCATGTTTGATCTGCAAAAATTCATTAAGCTCCACTTAAATGTGTTTCCATGACTTGTATGTAAATTTTTCTGTTTATCTTACTCAGCTTTTTGAATGTTAAAGTAAAATACTTAGCAGTTTAATTAATCACAATTTGCTGATGTTGATTTCCTGATTTTGATAACATGTGATAGTTAAATCTTGTAAGAGGGAGCTCAGCAGCGAGTGCACGGAAGCTCTCTGTGCTTCTCTTGTAACTATTTTTGAATCTATAGTTACTTCACTTAAAAAAAAAAAGTTCACATACTATTAAACAACAAGCCATACCTTGAGTAATATGTTTTTAGGCATTGTCATCATTTGGGCCTACAGAAACTAAATTGGTTATAAAGCACTAGATAATATATTCTTATAGGTTCATATCATATGTACAGTCCCTAATGCAAAACATCATCACATGGCACATACCAGTATTTACTTTTATTTTTTAAAGAATACAACATGTAAGACAAACCATTAAAAATGATACAAAATTTCATTAAAATAACAGGAATTTGACAGTGGTTGCATAATGTTATCTTCAACTTAGTTGACACAGTAGTACTTAAAGGGATACTAATTGTTGAGCTTAAATGGCTAAAAATTAGTTAACAAGAGATATGATGGTTGGTATCAAATGGATTCCAAAATCAGTACTGTCCAAACTTGGGAATCCTTGGAATGTATTAATTATTGAAACTGTCCTATTAATCGGTTTTGTAATAATAACCATAATAACCATAGTTATTATTTTCTGTGATTTCTCATGGAGATCATTTTGGCTGCCACAAGTAAATCTATTATGATGCAGTTTGGGTACAAAACTTTTGATGAACTTTTTTTTGTTTTCTTTGGCAAACACATAGGAGAATAGTGACATCATCCGGTTAAGTTTTTAAAGAAACTACCAGTCTGTTTTCAAAGAGAGTTTACTATTACATAGTCTTCTTATACTTACTGTTTATATACTTTCTGTGTATTTTTCTCAGTATCTTGTGTCTTAAATACTGACTTTTAGGCAGATATGTACTAGGTAGGGTTTTGCTCATTCTGTAAATCTCGGCTATTTAATCGGTGCTACAAAAACTAATTAAGCACAGATTGAATTATGAAAATTAATTTGCACAGCTTTTTAAAATTATTTTCTGTTTTTCCTTTCTCTATTTCATTTTCCTTTTTTCTGCTTTCTTTTAGATTTTCTAAACGTCTTTTTAAAATTATTTTATTTTATTTTTTATTAATTTTATTGAGAAACAGCAATGAGACAGTTTCAAAACCGATTAATAGGACAGTTTCAATAATTAATACATTGCATATTGTTATCTTCTTAGTGGTTATTCATAGTACAAGATGCAGACATGATATCCTGTCCAAATACTATTAGTACGAATCTTTCTTCTCATTGAGTTAAGAGAAAGTAGCTGAATATCTATCCAAACTATTTTGTATATACAGATAAAAAATGGTCCTTCTTTTGTAT